GAAATTGGGAATAAAAGGGGAAAACCAGGAATTTTGGGAATTTTTTGGGAATTTTAGAGATTTGTACCTGATTGACCCTGCGCAGGGGGGACACATCGACSGCCTGACGCCGAACGGTGCCGGCGCGGCCAATCCGAGTGGAATCCTCCCGGGGACCCGAATTGATGATGGCATTCACCAGCACCTGCAGGGGATTCTGGGAAAAAATTGGGAATTTTTATTAGAAATTATGAAAAATTGGGAAAAAATTGCAGTAGGATATGAAAAAACAAAAAAAAACTCTGCTTAAAACAAAAAAAACGCGGCTTTGATAGGTAAAATATCCCAAATTTTGCTCCTAAATCCCAAAAAAAACCCCAAATTTTTCTTCTGAATCCCAAAAAAATCCCAAATTTGGTTCCTGAATCCCCAAAAAATGGGGAAAAAAATGTGAAAAAAAAGGGGAAATCGGTTTGATTTTTTTGCCCCCAAACGCCCATTTTTTCATCATTTTTCTCCCCATTTTTTCACCGATTTTCCCCAATTTTTTCTTCTTTTTTCCCCAAAATCTCAGTTTTTCTCCCCAAATCCCACCTCTCCATTGAGCAGATGAATAATCTTAATTTCTCCCCCTTTTTCCCCATTTTTTCACCGATTTTCGCCATTTTTTCCCCATTTTTCCACCGATTTTCCCCATTTTTTTTTCAATTTCTCCCCATTTTTTTCCATTTTCCCAAATTTTACCTCTCCAGTGAGCAGATGGAAAATTTCAAACACCTTTCTCCCTTTTTCTCCCCATTTTGCCCCATCTTTCATTGTTTTTCTCCCATTTTTCGTCATTATTTCCCCATTTTTCCCCATATTTTCGTCATTTTTGCACCAATTTTCCCATTTTTTTTTTTATTTTTCCCCATTTTTTTAAATTTCTCACCTCTCCAGTCAGCAGATGGATGATTTCAAAAGCATGTTTGACAATCCTGACCGTCATCAGCTTTTTCCCATTATTTCTCCCGTGCATCATCATGGAATTGGTGAGACGTTCCACGATCGGGCACTGTGCCTTCCGGAACCGCTTCGCCGCGTAACGCCCCGCCGAGTGGGGCAGGTATTTGGCGTATTTCTCCTTCACTGCGATGTAATCCTGGAATTTTGGGAATTTTGGGATCAGATTTGGGATTTTGAGCCAAAAAAACCCTGGGTTTCCAGCCCAAATTTCATAAAAAACCCGGGTTTCCCGCCCAAATCCCCAGAAATTCCCATAAAAATTCCCAATTCCAGCCCCAAATGCTGGAAATTCCCCCCTAAAATGAGCCCAAGTTTCAGCCTCAAATTCCCCAATTCCAGCCCCAAATTCCCCATGAAAAATTCCAAAAAATTCCCATGAAAATTCCCACGAAAATTTCCAATTCCGCCCCAAATTCTAAAGAAAAATACCCCAAATTCAGCCCCCAAATTCCCCCAGAAAATTCCCAAGAAAATTCCCAAAACTTCTACCCCATAAAAACCCCAGGATTCCAGCCCCAAATTCCCAATTCCAGCTCCAAATTCCCACAGAAAATCCCCAAAATTCCCACTTAAAATGAGCCCAATTCCAGCCCTAAATTCTCACAAAAAATTCCCGAAATTCCCATGAAAATTCCCACAAAAATTCCCAATTTGAGCCCCAAATTCCCCCTTAAAATTCCCCAAAAAACCCCAGAAAAATGCCCAAAATTCCCACTTAAAATGAGCCCAATTCCAACCCCAAATTCCCATGGAAAATTCCCATAAAAATTCCCCAAAATTCCCATCAACAGAAATTCCCAATTCCAGCCCCAAATTCCCTCAGAAAATTCCCAAAATTCCCATGAAAATTCCCAATTTCAGCCCCAAATTCCCCCTTAAAATTCCCCAAAAAACCCCAGAAAAATGCCCAAAATTCCCACTTAAAATGAGCTCAATTCCCACCAACAGAAATCCCAATTCCAGCCCCAAATTCCCATGAAAAATTCCCAAATTTTCCCAGAAAATTCCCAGTTTCCCACCTGCAGGGAGATGTCGTTGATCTGCACGTCGTCCGTGCTCCATTTCCCGAACAATTTGATGTCGGGGGTTTCGGTCACCGCCGGAGCCGTCTCCCAGTCGGTCATGCTGTGAAAAAA